GACTTCGACCCAGTTGGCGCTACATTACCAAGAAGATGCAGCGCCCAGAATCCCAAATCCGCGCTCGTTGGGCTGAACTTCTTGAACTACAACGGTTGGCCACATCCTGATCTTCATCGTTGAATTTTGACTCACCAACTCACGGACACCGGAAAAACGACCCTTGCCGATGTTCCTTGGGTTTTTGAATTGACACTTCACTTTCTCCTATGATTTCTTCCTTCGCCTGTTAATTGTTCCTTTTCCTTGGTACTGCACATGCCCTTGTCCTGTCAGCCTATCGGCCTAAGCTTCGTTTCACCGCCTTTGTTTTTGCACCAGTTCACCTGCGACAGGTATCCGACGCTCTCGCCCCTCCATGGCTTCCTATCTTCGGGATTCAGATGAACCTGTCCTCATCTCCACCACCTTCCCCAAGAAGGTGCGTCCGACAGAACCTCCTACCTCCCTGCGGCTTCATTCCACGACATCGATCCCATCAAATACAAGTACATCAACGGCGACTATACTTCCCTTGAGTGACTCTACTCCAGTTTCGGCTCGACCTTTGGTAGGACTTCTTGTCAAGCTCAATGGCGAAGAGATACCCTTTCTGATCCCCCGACCATGACGTCCGTTTCGACTACCTGTGGCAAAGCCTTAATTCAATTTTAATTTACACTCATCCCCTCGACTCGGAGCTTCCTGTGAAAACAACCTCTTTACAGACTCTTGTGACGTGTCTCCTTGATTCTGCCTCGGTTACAACTATTACCTCTCTCCAACTCTTCCGCAGCCTTTCGGCTCTACGTTGGTCCAGTCCCCTACCTTTTGCTTCACATGGACAATATGGATCTTCAACCAGAAGATGTCCGTGTCCCTTCGGGAGATTCATCGCCGACACAGGTTCCTCCTGAGGAATGGGCTTGTCGTCGATCAGACCATACACGCTATTGGTTCTACCGCGCTTGGTTCCACCACAAGACCCTTCCTTGGGATCACGAAGACATTGAGTACTACAAATCAGCAACCGGGTACTTTATTGATGATCACCCCGCTTCTCAATGGCCTTCGATATACTCCCGTGTGTGGGGCACCCGGGGTTGGCAGCTAGTACTTTCTGCCACACAAAGCCTCTCCATCTGGACACAATGCGAGGAATATGAGGCCGCTCTTCGTGTGGAGGAAGAACGCATTGCAGCTGCTCAACAACTCAGCCACACACCTCCCTCCCGCAGAGGCCAAAAACGACAGGCTGTGGACAATCTGGAACATCTCAGTGTCCAGTACCAAGTCGAAGCACTCCTACAGAATTTCTCTCAGCTTGATGTATCCAAGGTATTTATACTTCAGGGCCTACCCGTTCCACAGCAAGAACAACTCATCAGCGGGGACACCCTCAACACGTACCGTGATGAACTTCACCAAGTTTACCAACCGGATGATCCCCTCCTGCACCCAGGCCGCTCCACTGCAGCTTCTTCGACCCCTCCTGGCCAGACTGCCGCCTCGGACCCTGTCAGCGAAGGCACTGGACTTCCTCTTCCCTTACCCGATTCAGGATCTATGTCTTTGAATTCCACATCGACCGAGTCTCAACACACTATGGAACCTCCCTTTCCTACTGACCGACCTCGAGATTGAGCTCGCCTTCCATTTCCTCAAATGCAGGTCGAGGCCGTATAAGCTTCCCTGGACTCAACATCCTCTTCGCCGTGCAGGAAAAGTCACTTGAAATTCTTCTGTCGTACTTGTCTACTTCTCTGCTTTTGTTTCCTTTCCTTCCATATTTTTCATTAGATCACTGACCTCAACTATCCTTCACCGCAGCCATTGGCTCCTATCACTTCCACTGCTTTACCCGTGACTCCCCTATTCTTCGCCCTGATCGATGATTTCGTCTCCCGGTCTTCGCGTACCCAAGCCTTTGACACAGATGATCCCTACTTCTCGCACTTCTTGGCGTGAAGTTCGTCAACCCCTTGAAACATTAGACATGGTGCCTGACCTTACCACCGTCCGTTTTGAACTGGACGTCAGCTTGCTTGTCTACCAACCCCTGAACTACATCACAGTGACTTTAGACTGGCAGCAAATTGACACCAAAGAGTACACAGTTGACGATCTCAAAGATGTGATCTACTCCCGCTTAGGCCTACACCGTACGGCCTTCTGGATGGCCCTCCCCTCAACTGGTGATACACCTGCACCCTTGAAGACCTCGTCCTCTACTTTATCAACTCACGCCGAGTACCCCCTCTGGGACTTGCCGCTGAACACCCCCGCGAATCTGTTCCTTTTCCCTTTCGACCACTCCATACAATTGCTCCCCGCCTTCATGATGATGCCATTGGTCAACTCCGACTACCACTGACCGCCTATCAAACCTACCGTGAGATCCGGCAATTCACCTAGTCTCACCCCACTTTTGGCGCGGAACTTAAAATCCTGCCTCCCTTCGGGGAGGCGTGTGTGTGTGTGTGTACCCCTTGGAATCATAGGGATCCTGTTGGGTTTGATGCGCCTGTTTTCCTACGCTTTCGGTATTTCTATTGCAGGGGGGCAGTGAATCTCATTCCATCCACTGCCCAACGAAGACGGTGGTTTGAGATTGTGAAGCGAGAAGGGACGCCTTCTTGTGTACCTGCAATTTTCCACTTTCCGTATGGCAAGAGGCCAAGCCAAGAACCTCGATACTCAGATGTCTTGTTGTTTTTCTTTGCACTGCAGATGCGAGCGGAACGTCGTCAGCCTGTTCGTTCGTCGTTCGGCTCCTTCCTCTTTGGGCCACCTCTCCGTTTGAAGACCCCCAGGTTTCGCTGGTTCCCTACTGGTACTCTTAGGAAATGGAACCCTAGGCCGGCGTGTGGCACCGCATTCAGTTCAGTACGCAATATCCTAAGTGTGTGTGTGTGTGGCACGTGTTGCGGTACACGTTGAACAACAGGTCAAAGTGCTATCTGAGTCATCTCGACTCCCAAGGAACAAGGCTCTGGACAATCCTGTGGAGGGGTTTGCGCTTAAACGGGTGCGTCAAACCCCGACCACGGCCAAGAAACTGGACCTCTGGCAGGTGCAGGGGTCGGTCGCAGCCCAAACCCCGCGCTGGCAGGGCGGCCGCGGCAGTGATGCCAGCAGCCCTGCCTGGCAGCCTTATCGGTCGCCTACACCGCCAGGAAGTCGCTGCTGTGCGAATGTGCAGCCCTGGAGCTAACCCTCGAGGGCGAGGAAAATTCGCCCTGGCGTGTCCTCTCTTCCAAGATTGCGCTGAACTCCGGACCACGCCCCGTGGACCCCTCGCAAGTGCAGCTCTGCCGATGTCTCCCGGCATGGTCTCCTCGTTGGAGTGGACAGTGGATCACCACCTGAATGGGCTCGATCCCAAGTTCGTCGACGGCCTTTTCGAGAAGATGTGCTCATGGCGGGTGGCATACGACCCATGCTCGGCGGCAAAGGTTTGGCCTTGCTCTTGCTGCTGGATGCTCCCAACGCTCGCATTGGCTGCGATGTGTTTGAAGAGGAGGGCTGCGGCCAGGAAGATATTTGAGAAACCGACCGCTGACTGATCCCAAGACTGACTGTCGGGATTCCACTTCACTCGAGCGTGGCACAGGGTGCCCGCGGCATTCCAACGGAAGGTTCATCGGCTCTCTTTTTTCAAACGGGCGAGCAGCTGTCTTGTTGCTGCATCTGACGCGCTGCCATCAATGACAGCCACTTGCGACCGAATTGAGCGAGCCTCAGGGACACCCAGCGAAGGGTGACGAGCTCGAGGTTGAGTAGGAGGCTCACCATCTTTCTCCACGCCAGCAACCATGAGGGTGGAGGTTGATGCATCGGTGGCGAGAACGTCCGACGGTGCACCTTGCCCGGGCCGTCCAAGCCGTGGTGCAACAAGCTCAAACGCGACTTCCGGATGTGGTGAACTCCAAAAACGATCTTGCGACAACTCTTTCCAAATTGACGAATGATTCAGCAGCGTTGTATAGTATATAATCGTTTCCACGACAATCCGCACGCTTCCAGCTGTCCAAATGAACGCGTCATTGCCACAAGTCCAGCATCTCCATGATCATGGACCCTGTGGAGAGAAAGGACCTCGAGGCATCATCCTCTGGCGGTTCAGTGGACAAGTCAAGGACAATGCTCAACGCACAAAGAACGGCCAATGTACAATGCTCAATGTCCCCGGCACCAACTGCGGTCAACCCACGCGCAATGGAATGTAGGGGACTATACAGCAATGCGACCAAACGCCATCATGGCGCAACGCTTTTTCCACAAAAAGGGAATCCTTGGCTCGGGCCCTGTGCCCAGCGAGAACCGTGAGGTGACATGCCATTAAGGTGACACGCCATCAAGGTCAGTGGGCCTACGGCGTTTCAGGCCTACGTTTCACAAGAACAATCACCTGCCCCGCCAGGTCTTCTATTTGGAAATTGCTCAGGTTGGTTTCCCGCGCGCACCACGGTTGCCACCCATGGTGCGAATTGGTTTGTCGTGGTTGCATTGCAGCCGCCTGACAGCCTGATAATGGCCACCCTACCCGCGTAACAATTGTTTGTCATGTCATGTAATAAACCCATCTGACTCGCAGGGAACACTGCCACTAATAGGTGTTGTTCAATGAGTGCAGTGTTCTTTCTATCTGAAGGGCAGGAGTTGCCGCATCATTCTTGAAGATAAAGTTCGAGGCTTTGGCCTTGCGTTTGCTTGGGTTTCTTCTCTGGTGTTCTTTGCGCAGCCCGAAGATCCCCACTTCATGTTCCACATCCGAGCCACACGTGCCGGCTCCAATCGATGCCGAATCTGCCATCTATGACTTCGGATAGAAAATAGTCCTGGGATGTTGCGAGGACACCACCAGTGAAAACATGAGACGCTGACCCTACAGCTATCACTACCATCGTCTCCCACTCCTGCTTGTCCAACGGCATTTTGACAGCCGCAAGCAGCCCACGTGAATATCTTAGAACGTCGTTGGTATCATCCTGGAATATCAAAAGGCAAGGCAAATACATCTAATTACCCTGCCTTGATAGGGGGGCCCGTGGGCTCCCTGGACCATGTATTGCACCAAGTATCGCCAACATCTCCGCGGTGGATTCACAAACCATAAACTTATATCGGCTTTTATGTTTGCAATCACGACAAGCAAAAAATACAAATACACAAATGCCAGCCCCAAACAGGATTTGTTCAGTTGTTTGCATTTCAGCAGCCATGGCGCACGCTAACAGAAACATGGCGTTGCAGTTCTACATGCGGCATGCGTAACTGCATAACCCTGTTTTGTTTACAGCTGTTGTGTATTTTCGGCAAGTAGCACCCGTGTATATCGTCAACGCAAGCGTGCGCTGTCAAATACACGACATGAGGTTGCTTGCCGAAAGGTCTCCGTATATATATCTGTAGATAAGCATACAACCAGTCTTTAAAAAATTGACGCTGCGTGGGCGAACACACGCGAAGGTTCACCCAGCGCGCGCTACCATGACTCACCGTCGGCGATGATGGCTTCACATAGAAGTCGGAAGCAATGTCACGACAAACTGCTAATAGTGCCATGCTGCCCGTGAGCAGGTGCCTTGGCACTGTTGTCCCGCACAAATCATCACTTCCAATGTAAAAGCAGAACACTGAGCACTTGGCTACCCAGTCACTGGTACGCACTAAATTTCAAAAACAAATGTTTTGACAAGCGTTGAACGCATTTCGTTTGCGCGAAGAACTCGACGACTAATGGCCAGGAAGTGTTGAAACACCTGCGTACAAGTTCTGTTGTTCTTCATTAAGTCGCTATGTTGTACAGGTGGGAAGCAAGGCAGCCTGACCTGGAACACGCCTGTTGACGAAGAGCAGGGACACGCGCAGGAGTCTCTGACGTAGGAGCTCAAACACCACCACGGATTGCGCTAGTTGCACGCTTTGGCGACCTCCACCGTCGTTTTTGACGACACTAATACGCCCTTTCTTTTTGACGACGGTTACGCACTTTGGCAACCTCCACCTTCTCGTTTTTTGACTTTTTGGCGACCTCCACCTTCGTTTTCGACGACAGTTGCTATACACACTTTGGCGGCCTCGACCTTCCTTAATTGACGACAGCTGCACACTTTGGCGGCATCCACCTTTGTTTTTTTTTCGCCGACAATTACATTGCGCACGTTGGACACCCCCGCCTCCATTTTCGACGACAGTTACGCCGTAACTTTTACGGCAACCTCCACCTTTGTTTTCGACGACAGTTACACACTTAAGGACAAGGACCTTTAAGGACACGCGTCTCCACCTTCATTTTCGACGACAGCTTTGACAATATCCGATTATCCACCGTCCTTTTCGACGACAGCTCGACACCTCCATCATCATGTTCGACGACAGTTACACACTTTGGAAAGTTGATTTGGGCACCTCCACTTTCATTTTCGACGACGCAGTTACACTCTCTCGCAACCTCCACCATCGTCATTTTGGACAACGGTGACCTCCGCCTTCGTTTTCGCCGACAGTTTTACACCCCTAGCTAGGCCTCCACCTGTTTTCGACGGCAGTTGCAGTACACACTTCCATGTCCATGCGCTGGATGACCAATAATAACCAATAACCAAATTTGCACGTCGCCCACGTTGGCGCGCTCGACGCACGCGATCTCCGCAGAGGGGTCACCCAAGCAACGCAGAACTTGCATTTCGCCTCGTGTTCACGAGCTTGACACACGCGATCTCTGCAGAGGGTTCCTCATGATCACACTTTGCATGCTTAGGGGGCCGCCAACTTCTAAGCAGAGTTATATAGGTTGTGTAGGGTGGGGTTGTAATGCTCACAACGTGGGCTTTAAGTTGGGTAAGTTCAATGCGAAGTATAGGACTTATAACCTAGGTTTATAGAACTGATATGATTTTAAACATAAGTCCTATAAGTCGATGAGCAAAATGATGTGTTGGGACTTACACGATTTACTTGACTTGTCAGACCCATAGAAAATGGAAGGTTTTTAAGATGATGTTGGCCAAAACGCTATGAAGACTTCAGAACATAAAGCATGATGCGCGCAGCCGCTTCGGAGCCAGAGCAGCAGCAGGAACCGTGTCCACCGCCCAGCATGGCAGCAGCGGCAGCGATGCGAGATTACTCGAACTTACCGGACTTTTTGTCGAGCTCCGTCTTGGACACCCTGCAAGGGCTAAAGGGCGTGGGCCTGCGAATGGAGCGGGTGAGTGAGCACGCCACCACTCGCAGGACGACTGGTGCCCGGAGGGCCCGGACGAGCGTCCCGCCGTACCCGCCCGACTGATGGACCTGCCTGAAAACCTTCGCCAGGCGTTCGGGGATGTGATGGGGGGGAGTTGGGGACCTACTTGGCCAGGATCCCGTAGCTTGTGCGTGGCCAGCAACAACCAAGAGTCAGGCCGTGGGGGCGCAGCGGGAGACCGTTGCACTTTTCCGGGGGCTGCGCGGCGCGCACCCGGAGGAGAGAGGTGGAAGAGCACCGCTGCCGACCTCGGCGCCCGGTTTGTGACACATGGTTTGTGGGCAATGACATGTGGTTTGTGGACGCTGCCGAAAGTGCCGCAAACCATATGTCAAATCGTTCCAAACCATGGGAATGAGGTTGATTTGTTCAAGGATTGAAACGGTGGTGATTTTTTCATGGAGGTTCCAAAAACGAAGTGAAGAAAAGAGAGTGTGAGAGACAGGTCTTTGAAGTAAGACATTTGGGTCTGGGACAGGTCTCTTTGCGCTGAGTTACGCAGCATGTTCCACGCAGGGTCATGTCTATGCAAGGGTCAAGCAGCTGCTGAAACGAATGCGCCTGTTTTTGGGTCGCTGAAACAAGTCTATTTTGATTGATATACCTGATATATCTGGTACTTGGGTGCTTTTGGATGGGTCTGAGAGTGAATCAACTTACCGCTGGGGACCTTAGAAAAACATGATTCATTGCAAACGTCACATGGCCACTTGAGGAGGGGGGTGAGGGCAGCCTTCACCAATGCAGATGGCAAGGAACGCTAGGAACCTAGAAACGCGAAAGCAGTGCCTTTGTACTTGTATACATGGTTTCTGGAATTTATATCTTATATATTATGCAAAATATGGACGTAAGAACCAGATTACATGCAGTTGCTTTCCCAAGGTGAAAAACAAATCTGTCATCTCAGCCCAACTGAAATAAGTTCAATTTAGTTGGCGCCGATTAATAAGTACCACAAGTGCTCTAAGAGTGTCATCTGCACAAAATAGTTCTCACTTCTTGAAGCATGTTACGCCAGAAACTGAAAATCATTCAAGACTTTCAACGCTACAGCTTTTTGACCTAGAAATCAAGCCAGCAAGGGCATGTTACGCCAAGCACTGAAAACATTCAAAGTTTCCGCGTTACCGTTTTTGATCTAGAAGTCAAGCCAGTATGGGCATTGTACGCCAGAGACTGAAAATCATACTCACAATCTTCCATGTTACGCTCTTTGATAAAAAATCAAGCCAGTAAGGGCATGTTACGCCAGACACTGAAATCATTCAAAATCTTGCACGTTACGTTTTTGATCTCAAAATCAAGCCAGTATGGGCACGTTACCCCAGAGACGGAAAATGATTCAAAACTTCAATGTTACGGTTTTGATCAAAAATCAAGCCAGAAAGGGCATGTTACGCCGGAAAGTGAAAATATTTCCATATCTTCACGTTACAGTTTTTGATCCGAAATCAAGGCAGTAAGGGCATGTTACGCCAGAAACTGAAAATCATTCAAATCTTCCACGTTACAGTTTTTGACCCAAAACCAGACCAATAAGGGCATGTTACGCCAAACGCTTAAAAAAATCAAAATCTTCCAGTTTACGTTTTTGATCCGAAATCGAGCCAGTAAGATCATGTTACGCCAAACATTGAAAACAAGTCAAACCTTCCATGTTACAGTTTTTGACACAAAACCAGACCAATAAGGGCATGTTACGCCAAACGCTGAAAACACATCAAAATATTCAGTTTTAGCTTTTTGATCCCAAATCGAGCCAGTAAGACCATATTACGCCAAACCTTGAAAACCAGTCAAAATCTTCAATGTTACAGTTTTTTGATCCAAAAGCAAACCACCAGTAAGGGCATGCTACGCCAGAAACATCCAGAAACCAAAAATCATTCAAAATCTTCTACGATACAGTTTTTGATCCCAAAGTCCAGCCTGTAGGGGCATGTTACGCCTGTGCTGTCATTTTTTAGCTTAGTGCACATCTAGGTAGCTGCTTATTGGGTTTTTACCGAAACCAGAAATCAATTTCTTGACAGCTCAGTGGGGGGGAGCTTCTCCCCCTCCACCGCTGGCTAGCAGCATCATTCTCGCGCGTCACTAGCCCTGCCAGAGATGTAGAGCAAACTGATGCAAACCCTGATCAAGCGCTGGAACCTTAGTTTGCTCTACATCTCTTGAGGGGCTAGGGGCGCGCCAGATTGATGCTGCTAGCCAGTGGCCCGGGGGGCAGCGCCCCCCCCCGGCAATGGCCTTGCTTTTGAAGACTCGGAAGGCTAGCCCCGCTCGACTAAGCATTTGCCACGTCCAAGGGGTTAGTGATACACCTCATCGATTAGGTGCGTCACTAACGGCAAAGCACAATCTAACGGCCCTGGGTTGCGCCGTAACACGCCTCTACATAGTGCGTTTGGAGCAACAAAAGGTAACATTGGCAAACATCTTGAACATTTTGATTCAAGAAATATCACTGTACTTAAAAAACATTCGCCAAACTCTGAAAACCCATCAAAATCTTCGCCGTTACATTTTTTGATCAAAGATCAAGCATGTTATCCAGAAACATCTAGAAACTGAAAACCATTCAATATCTCTCGCGTTATAGTTTTTGATCCAAAACCAAGCCAGTAAGGGCACGTTACGCCAAGCGCGGAAAGCCATGCAAAATCTTCCATGTTACGTTTTTTGATCCGAATCGAGCCAGTAGTGGCACGCTACGCCAGAAACGTCCAGAAACTGAAAATCGTTCAAAATTTTCACGTTACGTTTTTTGACCCAAAATCAAGCCAGTAAGGGCATGTTA